TGCTTTGGGTCCTGTTTAAACTCCCCACATTTCAGTTGAATGGTCATGATCTTTGCCCATCTTCTGTGTTCATACAGACTGCAGTTTTCTTTCTCAAACGGACATCTGGCTGCCTTTGATTCTGTCTTTTCAAGCATCTCACACTCACATTTTTATGGGGGGAGCTCCAAATGTGGGTTAGCTTGTTTAGTTGGAGAAGTCCTTTCTTGTCCTGACCCAATAGCTTAAATCTCGTAACCATATACATCTATTTACATTTATTATTTTGTTTATCGACCTTTAAGCTGTGTGTGAATAACATGTGGTGCATGTTCAGCTCATATCCAATAGCATAAAACTAGCCTTAACAAAGTGCAACTGACTTAGCTTTGTACTATTAGTGCACCAGTATTTTGTAAAATACAATCTCATTTCGGTTATTATACATTATATATGTATATATATTATTCCTATTTACAAATAGGTTCTTAAATTTCAGTTATTTTTCTTAAAACAAAGGATAGTAAATAAAGAAATATAAAAAACAATAATCTCTACTACTTACAGTTGTTATTATTATGAAGTTTCCATTTGTTATACTTTGCTAAGTCTTGTTGAATTGGGGATATAAAACAAAATAATCTTTTTATAAATGCATTTTGAAATAACAAAAAATTATAAATTACCATATCAATACCACAGAATTCCACTGTAATTTACCAGGCTTAGTAACTAAGCTGTATTTGGGTCTAAAAAGAAATGAATAAAAACCCTATAACCCGAGCACTTTTGAAAGGTGGACCTTTCTTTCTCAGGGTCAAACTGGGAATGGTAGTGTAATCGAATAAGTGATATATATAAAGGAAGTTTAGTGATGTCATGAAGGTTTTCCAGGAAATGTTTAGTCTATTTCTCTATGTACTGTTGTAAGCATCTCATTTCCGGTACATAGCCGATGGCGAGAGTGTATATGAAAACCTGCTAGGGATATTTTTCTTTAGAAATGGATAAATATATGTATATTTAAAACTATACTTATGTGTCTAAGTAAAATATAGGTGACACCTGGAGACTGATTGAAAAAGATATGTTATGCTAATCAATTTATAAAAACAGATATGGAAAATTATCTTAAATAAATAGTAAGTTTTAGGAAATTCAGCTTTCACATTACATGAAAAAAATAAGCAAAGAATAAAATTATTTTTCTGACAAAGATAAAACCAATGAATGGAGATCACTGATTCCAGGATCTAGATTAATTCCGAAAGGTTGAACAGTGTTTAGATTAGGAATCCAATAAGCTTCTTTTATTTCTGTATCTTCTTTAGTTTTGAATCCTGTTTCAATGCCAAGGAGAGTAACATCATAAATGGAATGACCAGGTTGGTTAAAGTGTAGAGCAGCAGGGAGATCGTTTTAGGTGTCAATAGAAGATTTATGATTGTTGGAATGTTCTCTAAGAGTTGTTTGTCCTACATATTTGTAATCTTTTACATCGTATAAGGTAAATTGTGTTTTTGTTTCACAATTGATTTCTTTGGATATTTTAAAGTTTCTTTGATTGTGTTTGTCAGAAAATGAGTTAGTGGCTTTTATGAACTTGCAGGTTTGACGATAGGCTTTATTACATGGACGACAACCATTTTTAGGTGGGATGTAATGCACTTTTGTGTGAACAAGGATATCTTTTAGAGCTCTGCTTTTTCGGAAGGAGACAAAGGAAACTTTAGGAAATATCTGTTTAAGGCGATCATTCAGTTGTAGGAGATGAAAATGTTTTTTCAGAATTTGTGAAGCATTTCTGAGTTTAAACTGATTGGTAATAATAAGGGGAATTTTATTTGAAAGTTTAGTATTGCTCTGATTTAGGATGTTTCCGCTGAGTATTGTTGGCTTTTTCAATTTCTCTGTCGATTTCGATGTCTTTATATCCTTTTAGATCCTTGGTGTGTTTTCATTGTGGTCTGTTTCATCTCAGTATATTTTCTTTATTCTAAGAGCTTGACTGTAGGTAATGTTTCGTTTAGTGTGAGAGTGGTGACAGCTTTTATAGTGAAGGTATTGTGGTCTGTCTGTAGGTTTTTTGTACAAGTCAGTGTGTAAAATTCCATCTTTTAGAAAAAGAGTAATGTCAAGAAAGTTAATCTGGGCAGGCAGTAATCACAGGTAAACTTGATTGTTTTGTGAAAGGAGTTTGCAGGTGTGATAAATTCTTTAACCCTTTCGATACAGGTCACAGGTGAAAGTCAATGTCATCTCGGTTGTTGACTCGCATTCAAAATTTTATTGAACTACTATTTCATGAATTTATGAACTACACAAATTTTAGAACTATACATTACTCAATTTGTTAATT